ACTAAAATATGGCCTAGCCAGCTCCAGCAAAGCACAAGGTGAGCCGCAACTTAACACGGCCTAGCATGCAAGTCAGACTGCGAAAGAAAAAACTGTTCACCTCCACAACAAATGAGGCACAAGAAATACACAACAGTGGTCTTGTCTTAACCCTAAGTCTGTTTTGATCTATGGTGAGGAACCTGTTGAAACTGAGTACAATAAAATGTGAATATACACAGATGAAAAGCTCATTTGCTAATGTATTAAAGGCCTTAAGAACCAGCTGTGAAACACTGTCCAGTATATTATAGGACCCAGTAACGTATGTAAGAGATCTCTAGAAAGTTGCACATTGGGCATCCAGTCTCTAGCTTGTTAATTTACTGGAACATTTTAAGTATAACTCACTAGAATGTTTACTAATAACTAATAAAAAAATACTTGAATTCTTTATATGAAGAACTAGGTAGTGTCTTCCAAGCACTTACATATGACATATTCTATTCTTTGTATACTCCATGTGTTATCTCAGCACTCATGCTGGATTCAATTATATTTAATGTGATTCAAAAGAAGGAGCTTAAAACATTGATGGGATTTAGTCAGATCTAGGGTTGTGCCAAAATCCATCAGAATGCACACATACAGTGCTTCTCCTAAAGGATTTATTTATTACACATAATGGGTTAGTGCATAACTTTGTTTCTGTTGCATGGTCTCCAAGTTCTGTCTGCACTTGTAACTTCAAGCGCTCGGTTTATGGCAGCTGTCCACGCTGCGGAGCTACGGGGCTGCATGGTATTGGCAACCTACCGTGAGCAGACCCTGGGCAAGAGAACAAGGGCTTGTAGTCTCATCGGGCACAGAACCCAGGACTCACAGGAAGCATATGCTACATAACTAGCAAACACAGAGGCGTCCCAAGACTCTTGCGTGCAAACAGTTCTGAGTGATCGTATTAATTACAGATTTTGGACAGTGATGAAACAGTTGCAGAAAATAACACTTTGAGTGTCTTGTACTAAGGAAATGATCACCGATTGTACCCAAATCGAACAAGCAAACAACACGGGACATTACCGCTTTAAATAAAAGTTGCATAGGTATAAAAGAAGCAGCCGACCGCAGGGTAGCTGCCTCTCATTGTGATTGCGATAAAGAAAAAAAACATTTTGTAGCCACAACATTTGCAACTTAGCACCTTTGATCCAGTGTGAGCATGTGGCTATTGGTCGCTATAGCCGGGAAAGGGAACTTCGTGACAGCAGAAACTCAGCGTAGCACGGAAATCAAAACCGATGTGTGTATTACGAAAGCGTGTTTACCTGAAACAACCATTTTGTCTGGCCTGCCTTTTAGGGCTTGCTCTTTGCTGGGCAACTGAGTCTTCGCTGCCATGTCTGCGAGCTGGCAGCGGGCGAGAGGCGCTGCTAATAGCGGAATGACTCCGAACCACAGCAACATGGCAGCGGGACTCGGCCGGAAGCGTCACTCCATTTACAGCAACGCAGAGGAAAAGCAGCAGCGGAACCCCACGAACATGAATATTCATAGTTTACCGGAAGTTCGGCATCTGAATGTTAATTAGCTGGTATTACATTCTGCTTTGAGAGACCAATACACTCTTCGCTGTAGAAAACTGAATAATAAATAGCAACATTAAAGACATTTTGTGGGGGGTGTGAAAATGAACTGGTGTGGTGTCAGTGTACATGGTTCGCTAAAAAGCGATTTTGAGAAAAGCGAAGAGTCTTCCACTGGTATTTGCAATGTCCTTTAACATTCTGTATACGCTGAAAATGAAAATAGTGGAAATTCTGGTCTGAAATCATATTCAGTACATTACAGCGTATTAGAAATGACTTGTATTGTCCACATTCTGACAGAAATCGATAGTTCCACCAAAAAAGCGATTGAACTGCAAGTTTCAGTGGGAACTCAGTTTCAGTTTCAGTGAGCACACAATAGATCGTTCTTTATAGAAGTCATTCTGTGAGCACATTTGCCTACATATGACAAGTTGACATTGAGTAGTAATAGCTGGGATTTCCATACAAATTACCAGTGTGCATCCAATGTTTTTCATGTTTGCTTTCCAAACAGTTTCACTTCAAAAGTCTTTTTTTTTAACAGCTCAAGGTCAAAGTTCCTTTTCTTTGTCTCTTCTGGAAGTGGGAAGACAAACATCTAAATACACAAATACACAACAAGGCCGAAGGAGTATTGAACAAACAGCCCAGCCAGACTGCTGGTCTAATGTTTGGATATGTTCCTGGGATCAATAAGCTACTAGCAAACAAATGAGTAAGACGGGCTGTGTGGCCCTCCTCTCATCTGTAACGTTTCTTATATCCTTAGGAGTAAAGAAAAAGAAAACACTCATTATGTCCTCTTGGCCTGACGCAGCTCACTGTGCTCCAGCTGTGCGGAATGGAAGTGAAATTCCGCACAGGCAAAAAGGAAAGATCTAGTATTGTGGAAAGAAAAACATAATTGAAGTTGAGCAAGGATCTAAAATGTTCCAAACAAGAGGCCATTCAGCCCAGCTAACGTGTTAGGCAGTTAAAAAACGAATGAATTTGAGGATCGCATCTGGCAATTTCAAGAAAGAAGCCAGGGCATCGGCTTCTTTCAACAGCATGTCTGGGTAGCTTGTTCCATGCTCCCACAACTCTTTGCATAAAAATGTGCCTTCTGTTCTCAGTTTTAAATGCATTCCCACATAGCGTCTACTCATGCCCTCTGGTTTGTGTTTCACTGTTCATTTAGAAGAAAATGACATACAGTTAAAGTGCAAAGGAGGCTATGTGAGAGATGAGTGAAATGTTGGGGAACGTAAGCAAGAAATTAGAGGGAATACAGCGGAATTCAAATCATCAGGTGAACACACAAGTTTATATCACATCTATATTTCTACTGTATAGTCAGGTGCTTTCAGTTATCAGATGTGTGCTAGCGAGTGTGTATGTGCCCCCTCCTGCTTTGGCGTAATAGATGCAGAAGACAGATCTCCTACCTCGCATAACGTACACACAGAAAAAAAACAGAAGAGCTCAGTGCAGCTCTAGAATTAAGGAAGGGGCTTGCCACTAAGTCTCACAGCACAATAGCTCCCAACTGTCCTGAAACAGGTTCAGACTTTAACAGGTTCAGGTACCAGATGGGAGGTCCTTTATGGTCCTTTGATGACCAATCAGGAATACGAAATCCTGCTAGCCTGAGCCCCGTGTCTGTGTGTCCTGGTGTATTATATGATGTTTTCCCTGGCCGTCCTGAAAGAACTCCAGTGCGGTAAGGACAGAGCCCCTCCTAACCTGTCTTCTGAGACCTTGCAGCAGTGACAGAAAGCAGGGAAGCTGAAATAAATGGTACATTCCCCAGGTTCGTGTTCTGCACTCATTTTGTTTCAAAACATAGAATAGTAATAGTGATACTACCTTAAAATCCTCAATTTTTAATCAGTAGAGCAAAATCCAGTTATTACAGGGGATAGCTTAGGCTGTACATGCAGGTAACAAAGCTCTACAGGACACTGCCCAGATGACAACAACAAGCATAAATACAAAGTGAGTTCATGTCCTGACTAATTTATATTTATTCTGTTTAAAAGCTGGACGTCCTTCTGTTCTCCTCATCACGGCATTATTCTACCCATATGATGTAATGAACCTGAAAATGTTCTCTCCTGTTTACGATAAAAGATACACTTATCAACATGCACCATGCTGGAGGCATTGTTAATAGTGCTGTAGTTAATTCAGTTCTTAGACCTTTTTGGCACACAATTTGTCCAAAAAATAGGCCTATTTTCTTCCAAGTGTATTTCCTTCTGTGATACAATCAACATCAGCCTCAAGAAAATAAAAATCAATATTCCATTCTAACCCCAGATCACATAGACATTCTCAGTTTGGCCTGTTCATCTTCTATTTTTAAAGGAATGACTTTTGATTATATTTCAGGCCTTAATGCAAACCATCTTAAATGAAAAAAACGACAACAAAATACCTCGATCTGTTTATAGTGAGTGTGTCACAGAAGAGAAGACATCCAAACTCATTGTTTGCAGGGTTAGTTATCCTCAAGAAATTCCTTCCCTAAATTTGGTTGATTTTCAAGTAATAATAATCACAGGCCATTAAAAAAGCATCATGCCTCTCCACAGGGGGCTCAAGAGTGGGGCAGAGGCGGTGTCATTAAGGCAGCGAATTCCACTGTGGCAGGGCCGAATCTTGAATGAAATTAATCACTGAATCAGGGACTGGATTGCCAGCGCAAAAACTACTGATTCAGGTCAAACGACCGCAAAGAGAATTTTAAATGCGTCCAAGAAGGACAATGGGAGCAAAGAGGACTCAACTAAATGAGACCCATGGACGTCCCTTGTAGGTACAAAATCTGATTCATCAGCTGCACTGGAAATCTGGGACTTTTAGAAGGGCCTTCCTCCCCACCCGTGATCCCCACCCAAATACACAGGTTTCCTTTCTAAACGCGTCCAAAAAACTGTTGGTTAATGTACGGCTATGCTCTTGCTTCCTCTACGAGCCCAGCCTGCACTGTTTGCTGGTCTTCTGTTGTGACATACGCAGGATTTTGCAACCGTGAGGGCTTTACGCTTGCAAGAAAAGGGTGCCAGCCAGCACAGGCCTGAGGCGGCCTTGTCTCGGCAGCAAGGTCAATCGTGAAGACAGGCTGTTCCAAGATGGCTGCCGTTTTCCACTCCGGCCAACACAAGCCGACTCTGAGCAGCAATTCCATAACAGAAGGAACAGATCGCATGACTCCTGTTCGTCCTCAAGGAACTACTGTTTCAAGTACTGTCATTTTTAAAAAGATTACTGAAGACTTGGAACGGCTATTACAGTTATCAGAAAATGAAAGCAAACTTTAAAACAACAAAGCAAATTTATTAATGGAAGCATATACTCCAAAACAATGACTGTTTCAAACAGAAAACTGCAGGAATGAAGCTGCTCGCTCATGACTGACCTTACAACTTAGAAAACCTGTTCCCCTAGTCAGAGTGAGACACCATTCTTATTGATGATAATTATCTTGGCTCCTCCAGGTTGTCACCACTGATTTTGGAACGTGGCCTCATGTTCACTCAAAGAAAGCCTGCGTAATATAAAGGCCCCAGAAGCCAGTACTAAAAATAATTTAACAAGTCGCAATTAATAAGACGGCATATAAGTAAATGAAAAGAGAGTCACGGAAACAGAAGGCACAGAATACATTTCTGTGCTATCAGCAGTATACCCTGACCCTTGTTATACACCCTTTGTGGGATTGAAACCCCCATCAAGCTCTGCACCTTCGTTCTATATATATATGTGTAAAAATCGTTCCCTTTCACAGCTCTTAGATCCGAGGTTCCCTGCCTTCAGGAGTCCTGAGCCCCCTGTGCCGTCCTCAGTTCCTCCCCTCTCGGTTCTGGAGCACTGTCACCCAGTCCCCCTACAGAGACGATCCCTCAGTGTCACCATCCATCCTCAGACCTGTAAACACTGCGCTGCCAGATCCATCGGAGGGCTGACAGACATGCTACACAGAAAGGATGCTTTGATAGATGGCCGACGCCGGGTCCCTGTGAGCACCGGGGGCTGTGTGAGCTAAGCGCCCTGTCCGTGCATGCTGGGAAGAAGCAGGTATTTACAGCAGACTGCTAAAGGCTGGGGGTGAATAGGTTACCTTACAGAGCTGCTTCTCCTCTGTCTCCTTCCCTGCCTCCCTCTCCCTCTGCCTGTTTCTTTGTCTGCACTGGAAAATGAAGCCTCATCACCTACAATGAAGCTCAAAGGCTGCTCGAGGGACTTTGCAATGCAAATGCAAGGTAATTACAAAGCCACAAGAGTGTGAGTAGGGAAAAACAGAGCAGCATTTTCTTCTAGGAACCTCAATTAGGGTGTCTGTTGATGTTGACAACACCTTAGGTGATGTGAAGTGTGTTACCGAGTGGCTAATACCCGATTTTCTTGTTATGTGCGGATTTGTTTTCTTTCTGCTTTTTTAATGCATTTAATTTGATAAGACGATTGCCTTTTCTCTCCCAAACAACTTGTTCGGGATATTGTTCAGCTCCTGCAGTTCGGATACAAAAGAGGCTGTGATGTTCTGGGGGAGAATAATGTGTTAACGTAACGCTGCATTGTGGAGTTTAATTGTTCACTCGGGTGGGAGAAAAGACCAGGTTTGGGCTGGAGGATGCAGGGTTTTTTTTTTTCTGTTTCTGCACAAGTCTCGAAGGTCCTCGCAGAAATGCTTGGCTTCTTGAAAAAAGATCAATCAATTAATGTAGCATTTGCTGGCCATCATTCGTTTCATTGTTTCCTCGTTGATGTGGGCTCGGACCGTAGCCTGGATTTTGTCCTTCTTGGTAAAGAAATATTTTAGAAATGAAATTCTTGTAGCGATGCAAAGCTTAGCAATGCTTAAGTGCTTCCCATAGTAAATTCTGATCAAGGGGCATTAAGCTGCCATTTAGTTTTCAGAGGCCTTAAGGCACAAATACCCTTAGGTATTTTGGACACAACTGTGTGTCAGATGAAGAACCAGGAAGGGGTATTTTTCTGAAACACAAAAGAAGACACGTGCAAAAACTAAAAGCTTAATGATTTTTTCCATAGCTTTTCCTCATAGTTATCAGTAGCTCTGTGCTTGACTGGAGTGTCCTAGGAGGACTATGCAAGGATTTTGTCCTGCAAGTGACCTCCAGTTGCCCATGCGTGAATGGGCAGAGTCAAGTCTGTGCGTTACAGTTTTGTTGATGTGTCCAGAGGTGTCTGAGATTGTGTGTTGATAGTAGACATCTTTTATTTATAAAGCGAGGAAAATGCAATGAAAAAGCAAAGTGTTGTCTGTTAACTTTAATAGTGTTAGAAAAACGAAAATAATAAACTGTATCTGCTTTAATTGGACTGTCAGTCTGCTTCCAAAGTACTACCTAGTACTGCTATCAGCATTTCCTGATTAGAATTACATGCCTCACTGTCACCTGCTCCAGAATCATCTCCTTTCTGTGCAACAGATGTACTCAAAAGGGTTGTCCATAGACAAAAGACCTGATTGTTGTGAAATAATCCATTGCAAAATCGCTCACATTACATCTGGGCCTGTTTAATCTGGAGGTGCTTCTGCAGCAATAAGACTGACAAAGACGCAACAGTAGTCTTTTCAATTTGTCTGATCTGCATCACGTTCCCTTTTAAAAACAAGAAATAAATTAATATGGCGGAAGGGTGTATTTAAGGTCTTGAGTAGATTCTTCACATAGCCTTCTATACAAGAGACTGCAGGGAAGCAGGAATTCTAGGCTTGGGACACACCTGTAGAAGCTCCTTTTTAAAAGGTTGATCCATACATTGTCAAGGAAATATGCCTGTAAACATCACTGCAAATGAATAACCCTGTATTTTCTGATGGACTATTTTACATTCCTTAGCTGGATGTTTTGTCTGTAGCACCTTGTTCAGATAGAGATTTGACACAAGCAAGAACACATCATCAGCTTCATTGTCACCAGTCTCGTGGTTCTTGCAGGAACTGCTTATTTGTGACATGAAACTCCCTTCTCTTTCCATAGCCTGTAGGAGGGAGGAAGATGGGAAATAGGACCACTGATGTAATCGGGTATGTGCTGCAGACCATTTAGCAAAGGTTCCTACAGAGACTGGCACAATTTGATATTTATACATCCTTAGATACCAAGGTTCAAAATGTAAATAAGCACACAAGAATGCAGGATCTCAAATAAGCCCAGATGGATTTGTTGGTAACAGTATTTCAAGATTTCTGGGAATCACAATACCTTTACACTCAATGGTCTTGTGTGTCCACTCGAATGTACAGTAATACAGGTTCCACAGGCTCTGTGGAAGAGTTTTATTATTTAGGACTTTGGGAGCCAATCCAATCTAAATCAAGCATCATAGTATTAAAAAATCTGGACGCCATCACTAAAGCAATCGTTTTAGTTTTGATTTTTCTAAATGCGAGCAATATGGCTCAGAATTCAGAGAACAAGCTTTCAAAGAGCAGCTGTGATGCACATAAAATGCCATCCTCACAAAAACAAAGACATGCGATAAATCTGCATTCCAGAGCCAGAACCCATTCCTGCAGCTTTGTGCGACATGATACTCCTTAAAAAGATGTCAAATGGTGGTCAGATGGTGTCAGAGAAGTTTTCTCAGGTACCGGAACCTGTCAGTGCATTTCTGCAAGTGTGGACTTCCTGTTAATATATTTTTAGAATGCCACCACCTCATCTTGTTATTTAATTTTAAGATCAGGAATCAAAGGAACCTGTTTAGTCAAAGAGTGACCGAGTTCTACAGAGGCCATCTTGCAGCCCAACGGTGGTGGGCTTGTGCTCCAGTTGTCTGCAGCTACAGGGCTTTTTAAGCATGATTTTCCTTATAGCTCCTCATAGCTACAAGACGAACTGTTTGTCGGAGATGTTAGCGAAGGTGGAAATGGGGTTTCGCTCAGAGGAAGAGGTGCAGGAAATGAACATTTCAAGGGAGGAAGAGGAGACACAGGAGAGAGCTGGAAAGCTGAGTCAGAGGGGAGAGGCACAGAATGACTCAGCAGGAATGGGGAAGGCAGCTCCTGAAACCTGCAACAGGGCTTTCACATATTGAAAGACGGTTTCAAATACTGCAATATTTCACATTATATTCTTGACAGTGGGTGGCATGGTGGTGCAGTGGTTAACACTGCTGTCTTACAGCGCCGATGCCCTGGGTTCACTTCTGAACCTGGGATGCTATCCATGGGAAGTTTGTATGTTTTCTCCAGGTTAGCGTAGGTTTTCCCCAGATACTCCGGTTTCCTCCCACAGTCCAAAGACATGCTGGGAAGGTAACTGGCTTCTGGGAGAACTAGCCCTGGTGTGTGGTTGTGTTTGTGCGTCTGCCCTGCAATGGCCTAGTGTCCCATCTAGGGTGTACCCCGTTTGCTTGCCAGGATAGGTTCTGGCTCCCCCACATCCTGTCACGGATGTCGGAAGGGACGAACCGTGGAATGGCAGGAGAGCGGAAAAAGACCCTATGCGTAGCGGCGAGACGGGGGTTGGCCCGTATATGCCGTATAGAAACCTATGCCTTCAGGTAGTGAACGTGGGGCGACATAGTGCTAGGCCGGTTTCAGGACATCCGAACCTCAATGCTGAGCGAGGAGCAGAGCAGAAGCAGGAAATAAATGGGCTACACAACAAGACACATCAGAAAGAAAAGAATAATCACAGAGAACTAGGAACAGGAGAGAAGTAGAGCACCCTCTAGGTGTACCGGGCGTGACACATCCCTCATGTGAATTCAACCCTGAACAGGATAAAGCAGTTAGAAAATGGTTGGATCCATAGCTCTTCATTATCACATGCAGCATTGAAGATAGAATGTAGATGACAAATATAATGTTGGTATTAAATATTTTTAAATACAGTCGTTTAAACCGTTGAACATTCGAAATCACTGATTTGGGTAAATATGGCCCCTCGACTAAAGTCGTTTCCTTAACGTTTTGTTGTTTGGATTCTGAGCTCACCGCTCTTCAGGGAGCTGCTTAATGGGTGCCTTCAAGTCTCCCGTGTTTGTCTCTGGCTTGATCAGTGCAGTGCGAGACAGCACCTTTGTCCGGCTTCCTAATAGCTGACGAAAGGAGGCGTTGGCGGACATCAATCTGCCGCTCCGCGCGGCGCGTCACTGCGCACCGACATCAATGATGAGTTTAGGCTGGCTGGAAAACAACAACAAAAGCACAGTGGGGTGAAAGGCCTTAGGGTTTAGGAGCGAATATGAGGGAGAAAGGGAATGAGAGAGGAGCAGAGAAATGGGACATTACGTGGGCACAGTGACAATGCCAAAATGTAATACTGTTGCGGAAAGGAGCGCTTGCTGAAGCAAAAAAATAATAATTTTAAGAATTAAGTATGATTACAATTATCTTTAATGTGTTTATTCCTTCAGAAAGGAAAAAAAAAACAACGTTGTAGGAGTCATGGGGGCACAACTGTACCCGTACCCTTATTAAACGGCTGGGGTAGAGTCGCTCAGTTTCACGAGCCTAAAGGGGTTTGCGTGGTATTTGCTACCCGTGTTATCGAGAAGCAGCGAAAGCACGGTCTGTCTGAGAGTCAGGGCGAGCCTTTATTATCCCCAAGGGGCAGAAGACACCTCGCCGTCAGCCATTGACTGCACAAAGGCAGGCGCTCGTTCTGTGAAAGAGAGAGAGGAGTTAACAGCGACCCAGCGGGTCATCCATCATCGGCAACAAAATTCCACTGGCCCGCATTTACCGATACTGTACTGTCCGTAGTCTTAAGGTCAGCTCTACACAAAGTAACTACCCAGCAAAAGAAAAGACTTCATTACTGTGTCCACTGCGTTACAGCGTTTCAGGGAAAAACTGCGTAAGGCGCACAAATGTCACAGCAACGTAAAAACTCCTACACGTTTAGCAATATTTACAAAAATGGCCAAAAACATACTGAAATGCATGTTTTTTTCCCCACAAATAATTGACATTTATGACGCGATACGCTGCAATATATTGCAAAATATTGTGAACAGAATATAACTACCGATTTCTTTTTGGAAAACCAAAATGCACTTGCTATGGTGCATGTAAAAAGTGCTGTTTCTTAGGAATATACTGTAATATACTGTTAGAAAAGATGCCACAATACGTAGGAAGTAGAAACATGTTCGGGAATCTTCCATTATATACAATGCTGGAAAGGAAGTGAGACATATTGCATTTTAATGCACTTTAAGTGCTTTGATCTGTGCTGGGATGTGTGGGTGTTTCTGAGTCGTTTGAAAATTTCGCTCTGTAACATACTTTTTTTATCTTTCCGAATCCCACATTCCCGTTCCTTTTTATTAAAAGAGATTGAAATTAAGTAATCGGAGTATTGCGATTTCTTAGAAGGGCTGAAAAAGAGACGTGTGTGGTTTGCGTTGGCTGTATCAATCCCCGTTTTGTAACACTGCAGGGAGCTGGAGTAGCCATGAGGGTAGAATGCTTAAACTACCGAAAAATTGAGAATATGACAGTTTAATTCAGAGGCCAGTCCTCCTCTTAAATAAAAGCCCCCCACCAGTCTGCCACATTCAGGGAGCGAAGCTACGCAGTGAATAAGGTCTTTTTTTGTGTGTAAAATACCACGCATCATATACAAATAGAGCGGTGGGGAATCAAAATGAGCGGTTAAAACACTCAGGTGCCACAGCAGCTCTGAAGAGATTCAAAACTGCCAAGTATTGTCCGTCTGCAAAACTGGTCTCTTTTAGCTGTCATTTAATGGCCTTTACCATAGAAATGTCTGCCTGCACATGACATCAGAAATCACTGTCGCGCAGTAAAACTGCGTCGTGTCGACAGGAAGAACCGTATTCATCTACATTTCTACGGCTCGCCAGGTCCACATTTTTTACACGTGTAAAAATTTCTGCTCTCCAAACCTTTCGCCACCACTTGTTCTCGCTTGTCTTTATAGCCAGATTTAAAGGGACACTAAACATGAAACATAGTAAGATTGACGTTCTTTCTTTTTTTCCCTGGTCACGAGTTTAACCTGCGCTGCAAGCAATACGAGAATTTCTGTATATTATCTGAAGGAAAACACTCAGTGGCCCAGAAGAAAATTCAGTTATTAAACATCACAACTTTTGGAACTGCTTGCAGCTTTACTGCCAATACTCCGCATCTCATTTATATGTGGATATACAGGTATATGTACATTCACGGTCATATATAATATATACACATATTGGCACAGAAGGCTCTTCGACCGCCCCGCTAGCGTTTTTTCTCCCGGGCTACCCAGATCCATACCGAGAATAAACGCTGACAAATTCACTTTGTGCCTTGCGGTGCGCAAGACTCCGCTGCCTTAAACGCCCCCCGGATCCAGAGATTATTCAGTTTTAATCTAGAAGACACCTGCAGACAGGACACGTGCCTCACAACACCCCCTCCCCGCCCCCCGGCTCATTGTCCCCACTGGACTCATCAAATTAACCCCTTTACCACCTGCCAGACACGCGTCTCCGCCATCTGATTTTCTCACCCAAATCTGCGGCGGGAGCGCTCACGATTAGGGTTAATCTGAGTGTGTGCGGGGCTCCTCTGAAAGACGCTTGACTAGAAATCCCCCTCTGTGAGTCAGCCAATGCCTCATTAAAAAGGGTTCTCTCTCTACACCTTTTCCTAGCTGTTGTTTCAGATCGGGCTCAGTAAACAGTTCACCCAAATTTGTACGCCGACCATAACTCACATCTAGATTCAAAACCTTCTTCTTTCGAAGAGCCTTTGCTTAACTGGTTCTGTTGTTCACCCCTCTGCTCCTACTCTATTCAGTCCCCTCATCTACTGTCTTCTCTCATTGTGTATTCTCATTATGCATGTGTTGGATTTTTTTTTAGTTGTTGCTGTCGTTCTGTAAAGCGCTTTGAGAAGCCACCTTTAAAGGCGCTGAATAAAATAAAGTTTATCATTATTATCTCGGCCAACGCGAATTTACATGTCTTCAGCAAAGAACCCCTCCGCCTGTCTGTCACTTCAACTCCTAGGCTTCTCCAGGTTGCTTCTCAAATGCACTTACAACAGCAAATGAACAAGAAATAAAGGAGATAAAGATGGAAAACAATAGATGATTACAGGGAAATGGCTCATGTGTTAAATGAATATTTCACATAGGTTTTTACCAAGGAAGGAACAGATAACATTCCCCAGGTTGTGGAAAGACCAACTTCTGGATTAAACAATATCAGCATAGAAGGGTTCGGAGGTGTGATTCAGATGCCAGACATGCTTCACAGAAACACATCTCCAAGACCTGAAAAGCACAAGAACAAGAGTTATTATCCAGAAGAGATCAACAAAACTCTTCCAGCAGTCTCTTGAGACAGGAGGGGTATTGCCCCCTAACTAGAACTTTACTAATGCAGCCCCCATCCAGCAAGCAATTATAGGCGAGTAAGTCCAGTTTCTACTACATGAGAGGTTGTGGAAACAACAATTAGCACTAAACTAGTGGAACCTTTAATTGCAATACAGTCCAAGGGAGAGTCAACATGGATTCAGAAAATGTATAAATCAATTTTATTTGTATGTAGGGCTTTTCAATCTGAGCATTCTCACGGCACCTTAAGTGAGTCTTACTTAATTGACTTGTTAAATTGCTATGAACAAGAATAAGTAGCATTGGATAAAAACAGTGTACATTAAATGGTATATTTAGCTTTTCAGAAAATTCTTCATGAAAGATGAATTCTCAAATTGCAGTCAGTAGGAATTCAAGGTAATGCACATACTTGAATTAAGGCTTGGGTATTGGGCAGAAAATAAAGTACAGATAAGAAGTAATTGCTCGAATTGGATGAGGTAATTAGTGGAGTACCACAGGGATCTGTATTAGAACCACTTCTTTCCCTAATTCATAGCAATGAGCTAGATTCTGATATAGTTGCTATAGCAGTCTCTTTCAGTCTGCAAGGGATACCAAAATGGGAGGAACAGCAAACACTGCAGAAATTGCCAAAGAAATTCAAGGGGGCTGTGATCAAATTCATGAATGTACAGTAGTAATCTCCTAGCAGATGATACCTAAGGTAGAGAAGTGTATCGTGCTGCATGAAACATAAGCTAATCTAAGATGGGAAAACTGAGATTCAAGCCTCCGTGTAATGTGTGGCAGTGTATATCCATGCATTTAAGTAACCCCATGGACTTCTCGAGTCCAACAGTGAAAGACATACTACAGGACACAAGGCACGTGTAGGAACACAAGGCACCTTTCTACACAAAGGGTTGTAGGAGTATGGAACAAGCCACCCAGCTATGCTGTCGAAGCTGATACTTTCAAAAACGTTACTGGTCTTATGTTCGTAACATTTTGCAGCTTATACATTATGCAAAATGGTTATGTAAAGTTAAGGTCAACAACATCTCATCACAATACATGCACATCAATGCTTATCCACAGTCTCACTTCATAGCATATAAAAAACACTGTTCTTTCTGAACAACACAAACCCGACTACATAACATGCTTTAAATGGCCTGCTTTACTTGTAAGCCTTGTTACAAGCAGCTTTAATTAAACATTTTTTCTATTAATTGAATCCTTTTGGATATTAAATATTTCATGTACAAATTCAGCTGAGGTCTTGCTTGAAGAGAAGACTTGGGAAAACTCTTGTTTGAAAATTCTTGAGTACATCTGGTGCTGGCATCTGATTGCTATGCTCAACTGAGTCATCCAAGAAATCAACATACAGTTCTTGAAACTCAGAAAAACATGGCAAACGTATTAATTTAGTTTAAAAATCAGATGAAAAAGAGATTACAGATCTGAATACCCAATACTGTCAAAGCTACACAACAACCAGTTGTTGCCTTTTTCCCTCCAACAGAACTCAGTGATTCATAGATCAAGTGTTTCCATGAGCTACTTCCCATTTGGATGATTGTGGCCACACAGATGATCTTGCTGCATTGATTCCTGCTTTTCTGATTTCAATGTCTAAAGCACGCCGATGTCTGTATGTCCCTGTGACAAGAAAGATAATACGAAAACGTATGTTAGGGCAAATTATTTTGTAAACGACTCTGTCCTTATCACCACAGCGTTCAGTGATATTTCACGACAGAAAATTATAATTTGATATTTCTATTATTTCCCTGCGGGAGGGCTGGGAGGGGAATTCTGCTGTGCTGTAGGATCTTGTTCACTGTGCTTTGACATGCTTCTGTTCATTGTTTTTGGCAAAAAAAAAAGCCTTTCTGTGTTGATCTCAATAGGCAGATCCGGAACCTTAAATGCACACGTTTCACAATAGCAAAACAGACACAGCCTGCGAAAACATGGCTGTTAGCTCACTACCTCTACAGCTATGCTTGTGTCTTCTAGCTGGGTAGGGGGTGATCTATTTAAATGTAGGAGAGTCCAACAGCAGCGGCTATAAAGATTTAGGATAAACAGGAAATTATGTGTAAGGGAGTTGGTTCTGCCTGTTTTTTGGAAGCATACAGTACATCAGTGATCAATGAGGAAAAGCTTCATAGTATGAGAGTTAGCCTTGCTATGCTATATAAGACTAAGGGGTTGCTTTGAATGCTATTTATGACATATGTTGAAAGTAATACCAAGGAAAATCAAAACATACAACAGATTAATTTGATAAAAGTCCTAATAATCTATTTTCTTCAATTCCAACCCCACCCGCAGCAAACCTCACTTATGGTTCAGAACTCGGAGTTCAAAACCCAAAGGAGGTTGCACCTTTTTAGTGTACCATCCAGTTAACTGCATCACCCGGTATGTATTCGAATTCTTGATCTCCTTATCTTCAGTGTTCAGCTCATTCCAAAGGATTCCTAAATGAAGAAAAGTACCAGGATGCACACTCTGGGTTGAGCAGAGCACAGCTATTTCCTAAATACAAATATCCAAATCTAGCCACGCACAGCAAATCAAGGGACTTGGTGCTCAGTCCCCAGGCTGGGTCTTTATTTTAATGCACTCACTCATGTGGGAATACAGCTCTTGCACGTGGCGGCATTCAGATTGGATTTAATAAGATCAGACTGTCAACCCCAGGCCATCCGCCCGTGCAGGCTGAAGCAGAGCTCGGACCATGACATCACTGCACAGTCAGCTCCACCGCAGTGCATTAGAGACAATTCATTAAAAGAGACATCAGCTGGGCTTTTTAACTCCTCGCTGCCCGGCTCAAACCACAGCCGTAACAAAGGAAACAGAAACATCTTCCTTTACTCTCGCAATGTATTTGGCGCTTTCTGGTCAACTGTACATTATCCGCAGCTCCAAAATGGTTTTATAATAGCATAACAACTATGTCATTACTAAGCAATGTTATCTAAGCTGTGATTACAATGAAACAATCCAGTATCTATTGGCTTTAACCCTGTAAATCTGAATCGTATCTGAAAGCACCATTATAACCATACTGTATGTCGCTCCTGCTGTAATTACAATGAAACAGAAGAAATGGTATTTACGAATTAAATTGCAATTATTACCATAACATTTATATTACTCGGTAACTCTATAATGATGGCATTGGAAATAAAAGCATTACCACAACACTCCCAATTGGTATACTATGATGTAGTAAAAGTTCTCCAGATTGTATTTTAGACATGAAAAATGTTTTGTATTAAACAAAAACCAAAGAAGTTAAGACCTGATTTTACATAATAGCTTTAATATACAGCCTGTAATAGGAACGTGCATAAATACCAGCACTAACATGAAGAGGGGAATGAGGAAGAAGAGGACTATCTGTATTTTTCTGGCAGTCAAACTCACTATCAATTTTTCTTCGAAGACCTGAATGTGAAATCCGACTCAAAAGAGACTGGAGGAGTCGTTTTCTGCAAGACTACACCTCTATGTCAATAACTGTAGTCTTGTGCTTTTTGATGGGTTACGGGCGGGATCTGTGCCACAGTGCGTCTGTCCTACCCCAGTCCCACATTGTCCTCTCACTGACAGTCAGTTTGGTGCAGTGCCCACTTTCTGGTCATTCTCAGCCAGAAAGGCCTGATTTCTCTTTCCGAACCCCCGACCCCCCTGCTGTGCTAGAGTCACCATTACTGGAGCACTGTATCTTATTTCCTGCTTCACGTGCGCTGAAGCAAAACTGTTCAGCTCAGGCACACATGGGTCACAGTATTCTTGACCCTCGGCGTGCAGATGAAGAATTCCCGGTGCTCTCCATCTCTTTTAAAAAACTAAAAACACTGTGAGGTCGTACACCAGCGTTGTGCTTTGTCTACGTTTTTAGAATGGCTCATCAAAAATAATCTGAAACCTCCAATCTGCCCGCATGTCAGTCCGT